TGCCGGGTATTCGTAGTAGGTGGCAACCGCCTCTGGCTCTGACAGCTTCGTAACATGTTACGAAGGCACCAGAACTACTTCGTAAATGTTCAAATGGTTTCTTAATTCGAATTCAGCTCCAAAAACTGGCTGAGAATCATGTAAAACTCGAAAAAGTGAACCGAAGTCATCAAAGGTCAATGACCTGACCTGACCTCCCGGTGACCTTGACGCCCACCCTAATGCATGGGAGCAATTATCATATTCCATGTTTGAACGCTTGAAACCACGAAAAGACTGCAAACGCGCGGCTAATGCGAGCCGACATACGCCGAATCGCGATTCCGGCCAAATATGGTCTCGAAAAGTAGGTCACAGGTCATGATGACATTTTCAGAGTAGGTGTAAAATTGACTAACGCGAGGATACTGAAAGTTTCGTCGCGGTCAGCCGTTTTTACGTGAGTTATTCGTGAAAAACCGAGGGGGTCCGTTCGACCCCCCCCCTATACGAGCATGGCTCGGATTGCCTTTTTTTGTTAAAAAAATCATGGTCTTAGGGCTGTGACGAAAAACAAGTGGCCTAAATCCGGTGAGAAAACAGGATTTGGGGGTACCCTAGGTTTGGGTCCTTCAGTCTCTGCCCCCCCAGTGAAAATTCCTTAGACGAGGCCCTGACAATGCTACAACACCAAAGACATTACGAAGCTTGTACAATAAGGGCAAGGCGTTCATTGTGTGCCAGCCTTCGTGCATTACAAATGTATTTTAAAAATTTAATTGCTAATATCATGCTCCATATGGCCGCAGTCAGTAAAATCGGGTCTCGCTGCCAAAGACCTCTAACAAAATAAGAGGGACGAAGCATATATAACTACTCCTTTACGGCTCGAAGGTTTTTTTTTACGGCCAACGATATACTCGTATAAGCCAGAAAAGATGATGCACTAATAAGGAACTGTTTAAAGTCGCAGACGATTAATTTCATACACAAGGGTCCATGATTTGATCAATAGGTATGTTTATATGATACTTTTGTATGCACATTCATTATACGTAGACTTCCAGCTTCCCTGCATTCGGCCTTGCACGCCATTTATCAGTGTGGTGACTGTTCAGTTCCGGCATAGTTTTTCGTTCGACACATATGGAAAATGATGATTACACCTGTCATTCGAAGAACCTTGAGCATCGCCATCAGAATTGCAGGTACTCTGAGTCAAGTAGCAAGAGTGCTGGCTGATCAGGCATGCAGACGAACAGACGGACAGACGGACAGACGGACAGACGGGCAGACGGACAGACGGACAGACGGACAGACGGACAGACGGATAGACGGACAGACGGACAGACGAGAGACGGACAGACGGACAGACGGACAGACGGACAGACAGACAGACGACAGACAGACAGACGGACAGACGGACAGAGTTCACAGACATTTGATTGTGGATATCCGTAAATGGCCACTGGGCATTAGCTATCATCAGCTCTCACGATAGCCTGTGAGAAAAGAGCTGACGGCGTTCCTTACATGGCACTGTCTGGCGATGTCCACTGTTCAGAGAACGGCGACCAGTCAGTCCAACTGCTGGAACGACTGATCCGGAATTCAGAGGCCAGCCCAGCCATGGGATATCTTCTTTGGACGACAACAACCAGTCAAACTTCTTTGGAGAAGCTGATTTGAAAAGACGATCAGTTCAGACTGCTACAATCACAGCCGCTATAGGTATTCGAAACAAGTCACGCTAGTTTGAAAACAATAATCAAGAGCATAGACCTCTGAATATCGAGACCTCTGTATACCAGCATGGTCTATGGTCAGAGTAAGGAGTTTGCTGATGGGGGTCGTATCATTATTTATCATGAGAGAGAGAGAGAGAGAGAGAGAGAGAGAGAGAGAGAGAGAGAGAGAGAGAGAGAGAGAGAGAGAGAGAGAGAGAGAGAGAGAGAGAGAGAGAGAGAGAGAGAGAGAGAGAGAGAGAGAGAGAGAGAGAGAGAGAGAGAGAGAGAGAGAGAGAGAGAGAGAGAGAGAGAGAGAGAGAGAGAGAGAGAGAGAGAGAGAGAGGAGAGAGAGAGAGAGAGAGAGAGAGAGAGAGAGAGAGAGAGAGAGAGAGAGAGAGAGAGAGAGAGAGTTTTTCTTTTTTATTTACAGACACGAAGTCCAAAGAAGGCAAATATGTACACTTGAGGTACGTGCCACATATGATACCGACTGTCTTTAGGGGGTAACTTTGTAAAGCTTTCTTTTGTTTTCTTGCAAAAAATGTCGTGTTGGTTATCTGTATGTATATTGTATAGTTTGCTTCAAAAGTGAAGCGCATATAACATGAATTACGTTACATTGAATAAATACCTACTCTAGCGGTTTGGTAACACGTCGATAATAGCCGTTTTCACGACGGGCTATTCCAGCGAGTGCACCTAATTTACCAAATCTGCACCTAATCTCTTTTACAGCAAATATCTTCATTTTATGAATTTATTTCAGTGTTTTAATCGATGATACTCTCTGATAATAAGACAAAGCAGGCATAAAAGCAACAAGTGCAAATCTAGTTTATAGCTACTTAGAGATACACTGAACCTAAGTTGACCAAATATGCACCTAATCTGCACCAAATGTGCACCAAATGTGTACCAGATGCCCGTCGTGAAAACGGCTAATATTGCCACTCATGACTGTAATGTGATTCGTTGTAACATGCATACTGTGCTTTCTCGGATAGCTAAAACAACCCTACCATGTTCAGATGCACATTGCACATGCATTTGTAATATACTTCAATATATCTATTCCACATCCAGTTTGAGAGGGATATGCTCGCCTGGCATGAGTGACGGCCCGGCTGACTGATTTATTTCTCCGTATCTGTCTGCCGGGACTCGTCAGCACTGGCAGAAGCCAGTTTGGGATTCCGCGGCACCGCCGGCGCCCGGCTGCACATTAGGCCATATTTGGAGCAGCCTGTCAGTTGTCATGGCGACTGAATGTGTGACGTCGGACCTGACAATGGATTCCGGAGCCGGACCGGGGAGGGGAACTTGTCAGGCACTCCAAACTTGGACGAGCTGCTTCATCCTTCTGCAGAAGCACGCTGAAAGGCTGAAGTCACCAGCGGAATTGCTGGATTGAGCTATTCAGAGTGTTTCTTGGAGATTTGTTCGTTGAGAACTAGCATTCTTTCCGTCGACAGGCTAGAGGCTAATATACATATGTGGCTTGGGATCTGAGGTGGGATAAACAGTCATCGGCAATTTTCAATCATTTAGTAACAGAGAATTTCGTTCGCTTTAGTTCCTTTGTGAGTTTCAGCGTATAATGAGAAACAACCCAGAGAGGCCGGATGTACGAACTTTATTTCACCCTTCGGCGTGTTTTAATTTGTCCTGGTTCGTTTTGTTCTTTGAGAAAAACACTTTTCCTAAATATTAATGAAGAGCCGAGAGCCGAGAGTGTACCCTGCCCCACCCCTCCTCATGCACAAATATAAAATATCCTATATTGAATCTCACAGCACTACGCCTATACATAAGTATATTTTACAAAATGTGAATTTTGCGAGCATTTTTATTAACTCCTAACAGCTCACTGGCGCATCCAGCGCAAATGAGGCAGGCTCCAGCCCAATTGGGGCAAACTAGGGTTACCCGCGTGCTCCGCAACGCGAAGAAGGGTTATGTTGACCCGTGGGTATTGGGTTGGTTTGTGTCGATTTGGTTGGTATCCATTTCGTTCGATTGCTTTTTGACGGCCAAAACAAAAAAAGATACATCGCATCGAGGTGCCCGTGTCGTATTATCATGCGTTCTACTTAAGAATGATTCGAAAACTGGCGTGAAGTCTTTTGAGGGCCATCGATGAATTTCGCTAAAAATGACAATGTAATGTTTTGGAACATTTACATTTTTAAGAATACTGTTACTTATGATGTAAAAATGAAGATTGAGTCTTGGACAGAATTGAATGCTCTTTCCAACGGTACCATTGTCAACTGCCAGACGCATCAGGTTATACAGCAAAAACCGTGTGAATAATAAAGTGGCACATAATCGACAAACACCATTTTCTCCCGTGATTTGTACCACTTTGGCGTCGATCAATTAGCTATTCACAATTTTCCCATGAGAGGCGGTACATTTCTCTTGCCAACAGGCGTTGTTTCAACTCGCTCTGTTTAACGGTCACCTAAAAATAAAATCAATTCCAAAATCCGTCAAAAACCGCATTTTTTCAACAAAACTGCCCTCACGGGTGCACGTGGCACGTGCCATCCTCTACACCGTACACCATTCGACAGCCCGCTCAATTATCTACACGATGCTGTTTTCCCCGTGCCGATCGGACCCCTGGTCACCAAGATATTGCACGGGGACCGGACCCGTGTCGGGCAAATTTGGCCGTTTTCGCCCGATTTCGCGCGCCAATTTATACACGTAAAGTCTATGACGCGATTTTGCACTTTTTGGGCACGCGCCACGCGCTCCCTATCAATCCGATCGAGTTGAGACCCCTCAAAGGCACGTCACGCATCCTTGATCTATGAGTTGTGCAAATTTCAGGGCGCTAGGTGCAACGGTCTGGCCTGCAGTCCACGCAAAGCACCACCAAGTCGGGACCTCGGTAACGGACAGACGCACCCACCTCAAATAGTAATATAGATGGCTCCACCCCGCAGCGCCCGAAATCGACGAAAATATTTTTTCGAGAATAAAACGGATACTAAGCAATTTTTATGAGTAAAAATTTGTTTTGAAAGGCACAGAAGTGCATGAGGAATCAAACTCCGATGAGTTTTGAAATTTGGAGAAGCTTTTTTTGGAGCTTGCCCCCGTAGCGTCCAAGACCGCCGTGATTTTCATTACCTCGTGGCTCGTTTATAATTCCTGCATACACATTGCACGGTACAATATGCCTAGTGAAATTATTTTCAAGGACGGCATTGAGGGTCTCCCACCTCAAGCTCAGCTGTATGCTGACCCAAGAAGTCCTACAAGCTAACAAGTGCATATCTTACAGATGCCCAACAGGATGCGGGTACGCTCAACGAATAACGATATGCTGCAAACACTTCCTTACAAGCGGAAGCGTCATCTCGAGTGTTCCATTTTGACATTCAGCCCTAAATAATTGCGCTGCAGCTCACGTCTAATCCCCAAACACACCTCGAGGAGTCGAGTAGCGTCTGAGCCGGGTCCGGCCTCGGGTCAACTGTGGCATAAGTAGCGGGCTCGTCAGGCCGGTCACAGGGTGACCTCCACGGACCCTCGCCAGCACTTCCTTCACGGTCGAGTAGGCTCCCCTCTTCTCCAGTCCGGCGCCCTGACACACTGCGCGCCATGAGCGACCCCCTGTCCCCCTTCAACACCCCCCCCCCCCTCCGTGCACAGACGAATCAATTACAGTTCTCATACCGTGCACCTTTGAGCAAATAACCAGCGCCGGCCGCCGGCCCGCCGGGGACCTTGACGGGCGCCATTCAGACCAGTGACGTCACAGGGCAGGCTCCGCCCCCCGCCGCGGCCGCCGCGCTCAGCTCCGGCGGCCCACCATTCGGACGCGAGAATTGCGAGCGGGTGGGCGTGCGAGCGCGTGGCTCTCCGAGCGGGCACGAGCTAGCGCCGCCAGTGAGCGCCGTCAGGGACACCAGTCCGGAGCGAGCGCGAGCACAGACGGAGCGGGCGGAGGCGCGCCGCCATGCGCGAGGTGTTTGACATACGGTGCGGCCGAGTGCCGGAGCGGACGCTGATCTCGGCGCCCGGCTCTGGCGGACTACTGACCCCCGGCCAGGAGAGGCTCGCCCACCTGGTCACCGACGGCTCCATCCACGACGTCTACGATGTTGAACATGTGCCCTTCGCCAGGTGAGTCCGAGAGGATTGCAGATAAATCGTAACGTGGGGTTTTGGGACAAGGGGCTCTGGGCGAGGTTAGATGGCCTTTGGCGGTAACCGGTCACGGGGCTTGCTGACTTGCTCCGGGCATAAGCTCAGTGGTGGGTAGGACTGTACCGTGACACCAACGGCCGTGCAATTGTATTACTGCATTATATTGCATGGCTATATTGTCACACAGTAGTGCAATACATTGCTGCACTGCTGCGGCGCTGGTTGCACCATGAGTGGTAGTCATGCTGTCTAACCATCCGTGGGTGTGTATTATATTCCCCTCCCGCCGCCGTGCTCGTATATGGTCAGGGCGCCGTCCCGTGGTCGCCGCCGTGCGTGCGTGCTCGGGTTGGGGCGCGGTCGGGGTTGACGTCAGCCCGGTCCGCCCAGTAGGCCCGCGGCGGCCGACCGCACCCGATCGAGTACAGTTACGGCGCCGGGTCGGACCGACCGACTCCCACGGTCCGCCGACCGGCTGAGGTATTCTGCAGTCCAACCGACCGGCTGAGGTATTCTGCGGTCCAACCGACCGGCTCCGGCGGTCCGCAGACCATCCAGGGTTGATCCATGACCAGTTTGGCCGATCCCGCATTCCACCGGCTGCCAGTTCCGGCTCCGGCGGCTCCGGAGGGATCCCTCCGGCTGCGGGGTGGACCCGGGACCTCCCACTGGTACTAGCCCCCCTGTTATTAGCGGTCCTTCAGAAGCGCCGCCGGTGTGAGAATCTCATGAGGACCACACCTGAACTCCGCCTATACTTAAGAGCCACCCAGGGCGAGGCTACAGCTGGGTTCGGGCTGAGCTGGGCTGGGGACGGACAGCTGTGACTGAATTGTGGAATGTCATCCTCTGACTAGACATGTAACTGGAGACTATAACTGCACAGACGACTGTCATCTGTGCAATCACTCGTCATACTGGCTGCCATACAAGCTGCTCATGACATTGCAGTTGCTAACTGCAGTTGCAGCGGTGCAGCGAAAGCGGGCCGTCCGCGGTGCGTCCGCTGCTATCACTCTAAACTGGCCTGGAATGCAGCCGATCCGGCACAATTAGCTGCTGCCGGGCCAGTCGGGCCGCAGCTATAATCGCCCGCTGGCCTCATGGGCCGCGTGCAGTGGCGTGATCCACAGTGGGCGTCCGGGCCCGGAGGGCAGTCTACTCGGACAGCCAGTGACCTCTGACCTGTGGACGGGCTGGGAGCGGGCGACAGTCCCGCGGGGTCACCAAGGTCACAGTACCGCCCGCATTCCTTCAGTTGAGGCATACACAGCCGGACGGAATGCTTCGTAGAAACGGCACTGGCTAAAGTAAACAGGGACCGTTCAAGGAGGCCCGCTTCAACGGGGCTTAGAGCGTCTCCTGGACCTCTGAGGGACAGAAGATGCGGCGCGGTCGCGGCCAAACACTTGTGCAACAATGGAGCGGGCCTGTTGACGCACTGGTGGGATCACCTCGGCGGGACTGGGAGGGATATTTACCTCCCTGCGGTGGGAGTCCTGTGGCGCAGTCGGTCGAGCCTGGACGACTCTTCCGGTCGCTTATTACCAAAGTTTGACAGGAAAGGGGAGTAGGGTGGTCCGACCGGAGGGACGGCTCCCCGCTGCGTCCGGCTTCGGCCCGCCGACCACCGGACACGATCCCACGCCGGCCGGCAGCCCTCGCGTGATATTCTATCCGGCGGTGTTTTCCCCATTCCGCTCCCTCCGCGGTCACAGCCGCCGGTCGTCCCCTCGCGGGCTCGCCGGCGCCGCTCGGTCGCTGCTGAGTCACACCACGGTTCGCCGGCCGCTCGGCGAGAAGCCAGCGCGTGCCTGGCCGGGAAGGTCGTCCGTGCGCCAGCCGCACTTCCTGGTCGGCTCTGAGCAGCGCCCGAGGAGGTGACGACGGACGAGCGCCGGCCGCCGCCTCGGCCGCTCGGCGCACACACGACGGGAGAATCAGCCGCCGCGTAGATGCACTATAACACAACCGTCATATAAGCATGTATGAAAAGGGGTCTCCGAATTAGGCCGGCTTACTGCATGGTGCGATCCTCGTCTTATATGGTCGCGAGAGAGCAGGCTGGTTTATTAAGTGTGTTTTGCGTCGCGTGCCTAGATTGGTTGCGTAATTTCCATAGAGATATTGTGGGCCCGGTTTGGAGCCATTTTAGGCTCGGCGCGCTCGAAGGTGCTGCGTGCCCACTGAGTCACCACCTCGGCCGGGCCAGACAAACGTTTCGGATGCAAATAGCACCCGACTGGATGGCTGACAGCTCGTGGATAAGCGGTGGCGGCTCTTGACGCCGAACAACAGTGGTGACGCATCGAGCCGATACGCCGACCTCTTGGCGGCGGCGACGGTACCGCATACCGACGTCGGCGGCCGTTCCGGGGCCTGAGTCACGCGCAGTTCATAGCAGGTGTGCAAACAGGAGTCGTTTGGGCACCGAGGGCCGGGAATTCACTGACATCCGGCGGGAAGACGGGAGTGTTTGTCGCTTCGGTGGTCGAGGGGCCCGGCAGGGTTGTGTTTATGTTCGGCGCTGCAGTCTCCCAGCCCTCGGCCGATGCGTTGCAGTCTCCAGACGGTTGATGATCGGTCCGTTAGGTGTTTGGAAAAAGACGGACGCTTGTTTGGCTCCAATGTGTTTGGCATTTCAACAGAGCGAAAGACATCCATTGATCGAACGACATGTCACTGCCTTTTTTCTGTATTGTTCGGAAATTCCAATGAAGACGAGGCAGCATGCCTCGCATGACTCAACTCTGCAGAACTGGCAGCGGTGGTCAGCAAGAAATTCACTGCACCTGCCGTTGAATTCCTGAGTGACACCACAGTGCGGCTCTGTGGAGTCACTCGGCCTGTTCAGAGCGTTCAGAGACGGTCGCTATGTCTCTATTCTCGGTCATCTGCAGTGTTCGACCTTCCGAGCCGGTCGTCCGAGCAAGGTCACCACCGCTGGGACAGACACCCCCGGTCATACACTCCTGAATCCGGGATACAGAACAGGATAGGGAGCGGAGGTCCAATATGGACATTGCAATGCAGCGGAGACCATTATAGGCAGAGTACAGGGTGCAGAGGCCGTGTAGTCCCTGACCGGGCCTCTTTCTACTGAGCTAAGCTGCCAAGGGTCTGTTGTTGGTTGCTAATAAGTACCATGTTCAGAAACTGTTAGCCCGAGTTCAGTAACTGCACCCCTCCCGTGCGTGTGCCGTTGTTTGGTAACCGTTCGCCGGGTTTTTGGCACCCTCCCTTCTCTGTCCGTTGCTCGTGCTGGATCTATGGACCGTGAGCCGGCTTTGACCGCCCTCTCCGCTCGGCGCGTGTGCCGGCGCTGTTGGCCGGCCACTGACCCGCGGGCTCTCACGATTGTCCGCGGCAGCTGGCCCCGGCCGGCGGCTGGCAGGCGAAACAACGACGGTTGCTGCATTTCGCGGCGCCGAGCGCCACAAAAACGACCACTCGGCTCCGGCCGGGACCTCGCCGAGCCGGAGCTGACGTGGGAGCGCCGCACCCTTTCGCCGCTCTCCACCAGAGTTCGTGGCTGATATCGTCCATCCAGCACGCGGGGCCCACAAAACGCCGTCTAACAAAGGGTCGCGGAGTGGCCGGGACGCGACTGATCCCTATCACCCCGACCAAAACCACTTATGTCGGCCGCGAAAGCGACCACCCGCGTCTTGGCCCGCCGTCCGCTGGCGCCCTGCTGTGTTGATGCTCTGCCGTCACTCAGAGTTGCTGGTATGGGTGACCTGACCTGACCTGATGGCCGGCACGCCGCGGCCCCGGCCACCGATCACGAGTCTGTAACTCACGGCCGTGACTCTGACCGTGACGATCGCTGCGATCTGTCGTGACTCCCTCGGTCGCCTCCCCGGTCGGCCGAGGTCATACTGTGATGGATCGCGCTGCGACGACCACCTGTCGTAGACGACACTGTCGCAATCGTCGTCGACCACCGGCGACCTCCGCAGATGGGCCGCGGGCCGCGCGTCGACAACTCGTGCTCTTGAACTATTTTCGGTGCCGATTTGGCGGGGGCGGCGGAGGCGCCGGGACTGGCGGGTCGGTCGGCCGGCCGAGGGCGGCGCCCCGTCGTGTTGTGAAACGCTGCGCGCTCGTTAATCAAGGTCCCCGATTCCCACGCCGAGGCGGTGGGCGCACACGCCGCCGCTGCGGGTCGGTCGGCCGGCGCGCCGAATCCAGTTCAAGGCGCGCCCGGTGTTTAGGGCCGGCGCTCTCCCAGCAGTGCGCTGTGCCGGGCCTGTGCGGGGCGGCGGAGCGGCTCAGCCCGCTGCGAGGTCGCCGCCGTCACGACCCGGCGATGGTGGCCGATACGTCGCCGCGCCCCGTCACACATAGCGCCGTTTTTGAGCGGCCACTGACGCCTCCCGGTCGCGTGAACCAGTTTTGGCCGCCAGGCCAGAACAAAAATCCACGTAATCCGTGCATGGCGCTCAAGCCGCTTGCCGGTACTTTTCCAGGCTTAGGACAATGGACTACCGGCCTGATGATCGTTTGAGCTCATGGACTAGTTTTGTCGGTCATATTGAAGGCCGCAGTGGCTGGCGGGGCCTCTGTTTTCTCAGCCGGCTGTGTGCGCGGCAGGACGGCGGTGGCGGGCCGTATAAGGCTGCCAACTCTCGCCTCACGCAGGTGCCTCGGCCGCCCACGCTCCTCTCCGTTCCTCCCCCGCTCCTCTCCGTTCCTCCCCCGCTCTCTCGGCGGTGACGTCAGCGCTCACCGCGGGAGGCGGCACCGGCGTCACCCCCCGGCCAGAAACGCCGCTCAGAGCCGCAGTCTCGCCACCAGCACCAGTAAAAACCGCCCGCCAACACAGCGCAAATACAAACCAGCTTTATTGCGACCCTTGACTGCGCAAAGCCGCTCCGAGCCGGGAGTAAACAGAATGCAGATACCGTATCGGCGTAAGGCCTGCTATCTGTGAAACGACAACTGGTGTTCCCGCTATCTATCGGCCGAGGCTCAACGACTGTGTCACAATTAGTCATCTGCGCACGCCGCCGTCAGCTGACGTTCGTTCGCAGTAGGACTCTGACCTTCTTTGTCCCATCTTGACGTCCTTGTTCGAGGGCGCCAATGACGTTCGTCTTTGCAGTATCTTGAGCAATCTCGACCTGAGCATTAGCCGTTTTTATACACAGCGCCGCGAGCTCGAGTATTCGGGAGCACTTCAATACCTTCAGTGGATAATGCGAGTTTCGCCATCATATGTCAGTTACCTTGCGGCGCCCAGACACGTCATATAATGACGATGATGTCAGGCGCTAGGCCTGATGATCTCAGCCCTCGCTTTACTATCGCTGTAGGACTGCCTCGTGTGATTACCCACGAAGGCTCACTGGTGAATTTTAGCGACACGCACTGGTAACAATGGGGCGCTGTCTTATGTCGACGGCTAGAACGTAACGGACTGAGATCGGTTGGACGATGGCGGCGGAGCTCGGACGGCTGGTCTGGGACCGCTCAGCTGTCGGTCGGCCACTCAGCAATGGGGTCAGGCCGGCGGACCGGGCCGGACCGGGTCGGATCGGACCGTGCACGGTGCCGGCGGAGGCAGACCAGGTGAGGCCGGCGGCAGCGCTGAGCTGGCAGACCTGGCACCGGGCCAGAGACGCCGATCGCCAGACGCCGCGCCACGCCCGGCCCAGTTACTCCGACATCCCAGTGATAGACGCGACGACACGTGTTGATTGCACCGGCGCCGGCAGCCTGCAGGACGTCTGCACGCGCCGCAAAGCCGGCCTCCCTATCTGTGGACCGTGTTCCTGTCTGGCTGTATCTAAGCCCGCTGCAAACTGGTGCTGGGGATGGCGCACGCCTCTCTAAACTTGTCACAGACGGGTCGCTGGTCCTCGGCGCCGCCCGGCCGGCCGGTGCGCCGTCGACCAGTTTCCGTTTTCTCCGCGTGCCGCCGCGCGCTGGTGCCGATGTCGCGGCATACCGTGGGCGCGGCCCCGGCGGCTCGACCGCTGGAGTGACCCAGATGCGGCGCTCGGCCACGTGAGGCGACAGGACACTGGACAGGCAGCGCGGCACGCGGCATTTTATTGCGCAAATGCATCAATGGGCTGATTGTGCGCAGGGTTCGCCGAATAGGCCGCTGCACGGAGGTGCGAAGCGGAGCTGGGACGGCCCGGGCACGAGGTCGCCGACTGCGTCAGCGGTCGCGGCGGTGGCAGGAAGCCCGGCTCGGTGCCGGAAACGGTCCGATAGTGTCCGCGACTGACGGTAGCCGGTGGGGCTGTCCCACCGCGCGGCGCGGCCAACGCTCGGGCCGCTGGAGCCGAGCCGATTAGAAAGCGGTCGGCTCTGTATGTGTTTACCTGGACCGGAGCCGTCTCGGGACGTCCTTGTCAAGGTCTAGAGACGGCTGTCGTTCTGAGGAGAGGAAGGCCGCTGACCATCTGCCGCGCCGGCCCCAGAGGCCACCTGTCGGCCGCGGCGGTGGGCCCAGCGGCGCTGGTAGCGGTCCACGTCCGTGCAGAGAGCGGCCGCCTTCGCACGCACGGCGCCGGTCAGCGGCCGGCCGAGGTCGTCCGCGCGCGGCCGCTAACGGTGCTGGTTAGGGCCGCTCGGCCGGCGCCGCTGCCGCCGATAGCGGCCCTGTCACCGACCTGCCGAGCCGAGGTGCGCGGCTGCAGCGCCCCGCCGCGACCGGCCGGCCTTGGTAATGAATCGAACCCGACAGCCCGACGGCGCCCTCCACCTTTCCGCCCCGGGCGCGCCGCCTACGCTCCGCGCGGAGCCGCGGCACGTCCTGGCTCTCGGCGGAAGGGCGCGCAGACAGCCCAGCTGCGCCGGCCGCGGGCGGCGGCATAACCGGGCCATGACCGGCCGGCCGGCCGGTCGGGCGGACACACCCTAGACGGCGCACCCACGCGGGCCGTAATCAGGCCTCTATCAGAGCCGGCTGGCCAACAATGCCCGGCGGAACAGACGCCGTGACACCCCGGTGTCATGTCCGTGTCCTGAGCTCTGACCGCGCTACCCCGCGCCGCAGCAGCCGCCGCGCCGTCCCATTCGGCCAGCCGTGGCCAGGCAGACAGCCAGGAGGTGCCGTTACTCGTCTCAACTGTTTTTCTGAAGCTCCAAGTTAACCCCACATAACCGACGGGTCAACGGGAAATCTTGCGGCCGCACTGGCGTCGAATAAAAACTGGCAACGGCACCGCTCGCGCGGCTGAAACTGGAGTAACGGTGCCCGCCTGCCGACTCAAGTGGTGGAAAGTTCACCTCTCCGTGCGCGAGGGCCGCTTCCCGCGCGGCCGGCGCTCTCTTTCTCTCGCCCACATTGCGAGTAATGGGCTCAAACCTGGCGGGATCTCCACTTGAATTGGCCTCTGCGCACGCAGCCGTGCTTGCTCATCGCTCTCACCGCTCGTACACAAAGTGGGACGGCTCGGCGGCCGTTGACAGCGAGGTGGCCAGCGCCTTGTCTCTGCGGCGGTCGGCGGAACGGCTCTGTCCCCGCGCCTGCCGCCCGGCCGGCGCCAGATGGCTCGATACGCACACTCTGCGTCAATATCGCCCAAGGTCCAGCGGTGACGGCGGACGCGTTTTTGCGGCTGTTCGATTGCGCATTCTGCGCAGCACTGTTCGGCTCTGCGTTACCGAAGGTCGCGGAGCGTGTTTACGAGTTTGGTATCCCGGCGCTGCAGCTGCACCGAGTGGGGGAGATGCCGGCTGAAACCCTCTGTCTCTAGGCGCTGAGCTGCTGAGCCGCGCCGTCCCACGACACTGTCCTGCCGTATCTGCAGTTTGCAGCGTGTAAATCCCAGCCATGATTCATGTCGGCCATTGTTACCGGCCGGGGCGGGAGGGACGCGGGGCGGGGAGGGTGCAGCTTGCAGCCTGCAGCGGCGGCCGCAGCTGGGAGTGTGCCGTGTTTGTGACGACCGACGGGCCGTGACGGGCGCCATGACGGTCGCCGTGACGAGCGGCCGTGACGGCGCCGCGTCGCCAGAGTCGTGTCACGGTCACGACTGGCTGGCAGCCGCTGAGTCGGTCCCATCAGCCGGCTTCCCACGGGTACAGCACGGCCCCACACCGATACGGATCGCTCACACCCGACTGAAATTCACGGCCGAGGCCCCATCTCGGCGCCATCGAAACACCGCCCGTCGCCAGACGTCACCGCACCCCTGACCGCTCCCTCCCTCCGTCTGTTGCAGAGGACAGTTCGCCTCGGTGAGGAAATGCACGCACAAACTGACCGGACAGCGTTTCGCCGCCAAGGTGCTGCGCAAGCGGCGCCGGCTGACTGACATCTACCACGAGATCGCCGTGCTGGACGCCTTCGCCGACTGCAGCCGTATCATCCAGCTTCATGAAGTGTTCGAGACGTCCACAGAGATCTTCCTTGTTCTGGAACTGTGAGTATGAGGGGTGCGACGTTTAGAGAGGGTGGGGCGAGTGGTATGTCAGGGCGGGGAGGTGACTCGTTTCCGGTGGCGTCTCGGTTGGTCTGCACGACTGTTGGCGTTGCGGACCGTGTCGGCGACTGCCGTATCGCCCGCATACCTCTGTGGTCCCACGGTCGGGGGGTCGTGACCCGTATGGAATGCAGTCTGCAGTCCAGCGGCGCTGCCGGCGGGTGCGCCCCTCCCTGCAGCCTCCCCACACCCCAGCAGAGCATACAGACCGGCGAGACCTAAGCGAAACGCGAGAGAATGCCGCATGTTTCTCACGTGCCTCGATTTCCTTTGTGCGTTTCTAAAACAGAAGTCAGCATATTGGCCCATTGCTGGAGAAACTGGCTCGCCGAAACTGCCAGGCTGGCGACGCCAAACCATGGGACCGGAGATCGCCAGTGGCCTGTTACCTCACAGAGAAACTGACCACATGAGGGCGCCCGCAGCGCGGACCGTACCTGCGATCGTACTTTCTTCTGATCGGCGCCCACGTGTTTGGCGAGCTCGCGGGCGTCGAATTAGAGCTCAGCTCGCCCACAGTCGCACGAAATTCAATTATGTTTGTTTAGCTCTCAGAAACGAGCACTGCTGCGCACGACGGTCCAGTTTTCCTCCCAGACTTGGGCAAAGTGGCCCATTTCGCTTATCACAATCACTCATACGACGTGATATTCAGTGTAACTAGTAGGTGTTTGAGGCAAGCGACTTGCGCGTGGGTTATGATGACGGCACAGCCCTCAGTGGCGTCACGAGCCAAGTACAGCCGAGACCGCGGCACTTGGTGGCTGGCTCGATCAGGTCACAGCGGTCGACCTCCAGGGGTTGTGGGGTCGCGGTCGAACGCCGCCCACCTAACGGCATTGCGGCCGCTATACTGCGAACGGCCCTGTGAGCAGCTCGCAGCCATTGTGAGAGCCACTCGCCGGGCCAGTGCGCCGACCGTACGAGTGCACGGTCTGACCCGGATTGGCGGCCACGCAGGGTGCCTCGAAGGCGTCACCCGACTACCGCGAGCTGCAGCGCGTCGCTAACGAGCTACCGCCGAGCGGTTCTGGGTCATGGGAGGAGGGCGGACCACTGCCGCCGAGCCGCCGGGGCAGCGCCGACTGCGCCCGCCAGCGGCGCAGAGAACCCACCCGCCCGACGTGATTTCAGCTCTCATCATCGGTCTTGTTTGTCAGTATCACTCGTCGGCTCGACGGGCTGTCGGCGGATGATCCGCAGAGAGGGAGTGGGAGGTGTTGCGAAACTGCGCCCGTCCGGGAGGGCTGGAAGGGTGCAGCGGCTGACGTTGCGATGTCTCTCCGCAGGGCGAACGGAGGCGAGATGCAGACCCTGCTGGATGTGGAGGAGTTCATCAGGGAGGAGGACGTGATTCGAATGATGCGCCAGATTCTGGAAGGACTGCACCAACTTCACGACAACAACATCGCCCACCTCGACATCAAGGTAGGTTTCCAACGCGAGCTGAACAGACTGTTTGTCGTGCTCGGTGCAAAATTGACATCGATATCCTATCGCGCTAAGTCCCAGCTGCAACGGTTCTAGTTTGATTGTTGATTACTCATCCACTCACAACGGTCGTTTCGCTGCTTTGTCAGCGACCGCCCCTCGAAACGCTTATCAAGTCGAAAGGCAAACACAGAGTCCGGGATTTCAGTGTGATACGGGCGCTCCTCGGCCGGTACAGAGCGCGATATAAGCCACTCGGTGCAGGGTTTGCCGCGAACATCTGCTGAGTTGGCACATATCGGCCCGACCGTATCAGGTATCGAAGGTTCGATATGTGCTGACGGTTTCATCAGGCCCGTGTCGACTCCACCGGTCAATCGGTCCGTCCTTGTTCGTGTTGATCCTAAAGGCGAACAACAGTTGTGTACGAGCCTCAGGCGCAGACCTTCCACCACAACACCGGTGCGTGTTCCACTCGCATTGGGGCGCGATGGCCTCCCCGATCCTGCGGTCTGAACGGCCCCCAGCCCGTCCCCCTCTGTACTCAGCCGCTGCGGCCTTCATGGCGCAGAACTCTGCCGGCTGTGACTATCGTGGCCCACTATCGGCTGACAGGCGACCATATGCCGGGGGCGTTAATATCCCGGCTAAAATAGCCTCCGGGTGCAGCGGGCGGCGCCTATCTGTTAAATTGGACCGGCTGACCTGGTGACACGACGGCGTGCAAATCCGGGAGTGAAGGGTCGGAGTTAGAGTTATAGGGCCACTTGGGTCGGTGACCGCGCGGAACGTCCTTCGAAGGACGACCTTCGAGGGACGCCCAGTCCGCCTGTCGGCTGGTGGAGAGGAAGATAGTCAGAACGTCCTCAGACGGCCCACTTTGGTATATCAATCGGCACTCGAGTATCTGGCTCAATACCCGAATCGGGATTGGGCCTTCTAGATCCTCTCCTTACCGTTTTTATGATGTAACCCCGTCCGTCGAGCGTCCCGGTCCACTCTCTCTTTCTCAATCGGTATCTCCCTTCGTTAGACTTTTTTCTCACCTGCCTGCCTGACATTCCTAACTTTATTTAACGAGCTTCTCACCTCGTTTATTTTATTTTCACCAGCGGGCTCGATCACGAACTGAACTATCAGCTTGTAGCATCCTTTTCGTCCCGTTACTTCCGCCGAATTAGCGCCGCACTCGCGGTTTATCGGTCGTAACCGATCGGGAGACACGACCGTGACCGGATCTCTCACTCTCTCTCTCTCTCTCTCTCTCTCTCTCTCTCTCTCTCTCTCTCTCTCTCTCTCTCTCTCTCTCTCTCTCTCTCTCTCTCTCTCTCTCTCTCTCTCTCTCTCTCTCTCTCTCTCTCCTCGGTGCAGGGTGTTTGTTTCCACTGTGCACCTCCAGCGCTGCGCTGATCGCTGAGCGACCGGCGCAATCCGGTACTGCGATTCTCGGAGTAAGCCGAACCGGCCGATCGGGCTGGGCTGGGCTCATTTCCGCGCCGCACGCTGCCACCTTCTGTCCAGTCAGCCTGGAAAGTGAAACCGCCGACAAGGCGTCTGTCTGTCTGTCTGTCGGCCTGTGTGTGTGGTGCGCGGGCACCGGGGAAAGTTCGGGTGCCGACAGCAGGCAGCGGGCAGAAATCTCTCGGCAGCCCCACTCGACACCAAACTCAACCGTCTCTTAAACGCTTTGTTCATTGTTGTTCGGCTGCAGCCTGCATATATTTAAATCTCACTTTTAAGTGAGGGCCGTTTATAAATATGCTTTGAAACTGAAATATGTCGAGAAAAGAAAGCGAGGAAGAAACGCGTGTTTGAAATACCGCTTGACCTACGATAATATAATGCTGAAAATGTTGCTCAACCGAAGTATATTGTGACGGAATAAAAACCAGATCCAGTTCCGTGTGGTCCTTGAGAATTCCACCGGTCCCGGATGTTTATAATTTGGTCGCATATTTGGATCGATCTCTTGCTGTCTTCAGAGATGATGAATTGGCTTTATGGAGCGCTGAATAAATCGATTTGTTCGCCAACTCTCTTTGAGTTTGGGCGATATATCAGCATTTGACGATCATCCGCCTGATGCGGCAGTTTTGTCCGCCCCTTCGAGCGGAATCCATCACGAGCACGATAAAAAAAACAGCGACCGGAGTCATTCGCAACCGGACGCGGAACTGCCCCCGCGCCTCCCCTGTGGTATTCCCGTGTGTGACCCATCCCGCCCCCTTCTGTTTCAGCCCCAAAACCTGCTGCTGACCGGACCATTCCCCAACTGTGACGTCAAACTGTGCGACTTCGGCATCTCCAGACAAGTGATTGGCAACGGCGAACTCCGAGAGATCATGGGCACGGCAGATTATATGGGTAAGCAGACACGGAACAGCGAGTGTATGCGTATGTCGTCATTCACCAAAACCGGTTAAAAGCTTTTCTGGACATCTGCAGTAAGAGGCTTAGGGTGATCGAATAGATAACTGGCCATTCACCTGTTCATTGCGAATTTAAATCGAGATCTGAAATTGAGATAACTTTGCTGTAAGACTGAGTGGATGCTCAGGTGTCTCCACTCTTCACGTTACCAGATCAGTGTGTGTTTGTGCGTCTGGCTGATCCGTCGGCCGGCGGGCGCCGGCGCGGTGCACCGCCTCCCCGTTCACGCGTGGCCTTTGCAGCCGCCCTGAGCGTATTCAAATGATCCGAGCGGCGCCGCTCTGGCGGCTGCCGGTGGCGCAACAGCGCAGAGGTGGCGGCTCGGCAAGGCCGCCGAGCGCGTCCCAGCGCAGCCGACAGCCGCATTCCCGGGCTGACGGGACGTGCCCCGACCGCCGCCGGCGCCGCCCCGTTCCCGAGCACAACCCACATGTGGTTTTTCTCTTGTTTCAGCGCCGGAGATCCTCAACTACGAACCGCTCTCGCTGGCCACAGACATGTGGTGAGTACTGGAAAGGGTTATCGGGCACGGGTGGGGACAGGGGACACGGACACGGACACGGGCACGGACACACCGAGTAACGGACCGCCGCGCCGGCCTCTCAGCACTCGGTGATGTCTTCCGGTCTGTAGGCGCGCCGCCGCCGACCGTCGTCTGTATAAACACAGCCGGCGCCGGAGGCTGACTCAGAGACAAGACGCGCCGCTGTGCCCCTGGTCCAGATAAAACTCCAGTACAGATACGGCCAGCGCCGTCCTCGATCTAACTTATAGCAGTCTCAGCAGAGCTAGATTTTCCATTCAGCTGACCTATCACTCATATCCTCTCCATTGCTTCCTAGCTTGATGCTCGGGTTCGCGTCTGGCTTTGTGTTCGTTGGGGTGCGTGTGCCGTGTGTCTGTATGTCTGTGTGTCCGTCCGAGTGCATATGTCTGTATGTCTGTGTGCCCGTCTGGGTGCATGTGTCAGTATGTCTGTCTGCTTGGGTGCGTGTGTCGGTATGTCTGTCTGTGTGTGCGTGTGTGCGCCGACCCGGACACCGATGCATCAGGCAGGCCCGAGTGTGACGCCCCGTCCGGCTTTCTCCGCGGTAACACAATACCGTCGGCGCGCGGCGGTAATGTATGTGCGCGGGCGGCGCGCCGGCGCCGGCCGGCCGGCTGCGTGACCCGGCGCGGCCGCCCGGCGACCCGACCACACACCGATACGCTACCGATTGGTGGCGGCCGCCGGCGCCGACACGTCCCAGCGCTGTATATACAGCCTGTCGGACAGGCCGGCCGCCCTCCATGGCCCGCACCCGGCGCCACTGTATAAATCAACACAGCCGGTGTAAGGATTGGCCGGCGCCAGTTGTCGGCCGGCGCGAGTGTTGTTCTAACGGCTTGTATTCTGACTCAAGCGACTCCACTGAGTCGTTCTTACTCGCCGTTCGGTGACTGACGGCATCTCTCTATTGTTCCAGGTCGATCGGAGTTCTGACCTACGCCCTGCTGACTGGATACACCCCGTTCACTGGAGCCAACAACCAGGAGACCTACTGCAACATCACATCGGAGGAGGTTGACTTCCCCGAGGACCTATTCAGCGACATCAGCGACAATGCCAAGGACTTCATCGCCGGCCTGCTCGTCAAAAACCCGAGGTGAGCATCGCGGTGTGTCAGCGTGGCGAGAGGGGAGAGGACGAGAGAGAGGGAGAGGGGAAAGAGGTAGGAGGGAGGAGAGAGTCCTGCTGGGCGGGCCGCCACAGGAGGTCGCCCGCCGCCCACGACGCTCCGTCCGTGCCACCGCCGCGACCCCGATTGGCGAGAGCCGCCCGTCGCTGGGCTGCCTGAGTTTCGGAACGCGACCATAACACGGCTGGGGCCTCAGTATGTGCAAATAGCAGCCCAGTCCAGCCCGTATCAGATAGCTGAGTTAGCAGTTCCAGTCCTTACTTGAAACGCCTCCATCCTGCACACAATATCGTTTCATTGCTCGCAGTCCAGGTACATTGTCCTCCCAAACCATTTATGAAAGGACTTTTAATTTTGCGCTTGTGATACAGCTGCCAGCCTGCACATATGGAGGCGGAAATTCGGCACACCACAAACTATTTGCCCCCGATACGATCGGACTGTGAGCTCAAATACAGTCATCGGATCCGTTCAAATCCGGGAATTTTTCCGACAGCGCCAGTCCGCGCTATCGTGCTGATCCAGTTTAAATCGAGCGATGTTCTGGGCCGCCCCAGAAGGCGGCGGTCGGGTCCATTTTTGCGCCGAATCCGCGGAAACCATGCACGTCCGGCTGGCGGCACGGTTCGCTGCAGGCTCGGTTGGTCGGGGCCGGCGCCACCGCTGCGCGGCCGAGCAGTGTGCAGTGGAGCAGTGTGCAGTGGAGCAGTGTCATTCACTCGGCAACAGAGGACAGCGCGGAGCACGGAGGGAGGGGAGAGGAGGGGAGGCACGGACTACAGAGCCGCCCGAGGCCAGCAGCTCTTGCCATGTGCCGAGGTCGGCCGAGCTGAGCCAGCCTTCACTCAGGCTGCCGCTGCAGGGAAGCCATTTACTGATGGCTTAGATAGCGGCAGCTGCAGCGGCCGGTCCACCCAGCCGCGCTGGCGGGACGCGGGGAAGCCGCTGACCGGGGCGGCTGCCTGGCCCGACCGTGCTTCGTCATACTCTGTCGCGGCGGGTCAGGTCGGCGCCCGTCAGACTGGCGTTCTCTCCAGCACCTTTGTCTCCACGGCGTGCCATTTCTGACGCTCAAAAACCGGCGCAGCGGCCGCCGACCCGGCTCGCCAAAACCCGATGCTAAGCCGGCGCGCCGCCGCCGCCGTGGCGCCGCTCCGCCATATTCGGAGCACGTCGTATCTTTTACTCATGAGCCAGACTCCATTTGAGGCTATCATTGCGGCGACCAGCGGCGTGCGGCGCCGGCGTGGTGGCGCCGCCGCTCAAAAAGTCACGTGTCGCCGGCGCACAGAGACAGAAAGCTGCGCGCAGACGCCAAACAGAGCCGTGGCAAAACAGCCGGCCGACCGGCCGCTCGCCCAAGGCCGTGTGAGCGATGTGGCCCGGCCGACCGGGGGGCCGCCCAATCGGGAATCCAATTGTGTACGGCCAAGTAGCACGGCTGAATGTGGGTCCCGCAGTCGTAGTTCAGGATCTAGCGCATGGGGCCAATTTCATTGCGGTAATTTTATGACTGACGCCAGCAACGGAAGGTCGCAGGGCTGAATTTTCAAAATAATTAGCGACCTAGGGTGGGGCGATGCAGGAATATGCAACAACGCCTCCCAAAAATGTCGCACTCTTATTCCATACCGATTGGCATGCGGGCCATGTCAGATGTAACAACGTGGATGCAATGCTACTACATTATGCACGCGATGCAATGCCGTCTCCTAGAATCGATCACATGATCCCGCATCCCGGATAGATGCGCATGTTGCCGGCCTCCAGCCCCCGTTAAGGTCGCTCGTGGACCGCCTCAGACTGTGGATGTTGTTGGGGCGGGGTGGGGACAGACTACTGAATCCTTTAGTCCCTGTGACCGGGGTCCGGTTACGCCGCCAATCGGGCGCCCCCTGAGGTGCCCCTGATCGCTGTCTCGGCCGCGGGAGACCAAACACTGCCATCAGCGGAATGCCTGCTATTGATGATAGTCTTGCTGATCCTCTGTCTAGCTGTTGATCTGTCTGACTGCTCAACGCCGCGCAGTAGCCTATGTAAACGACGTCACTGACCCAGATCTCTTTCGTTCCAGTGGACGACGCACCTTGCACAGCTGCTTGGAGCATCCTTGGCTGTCGACTGACAACTGCGAGCCGTCGCTTCTCTCCTCCGACTGTGTCCAGACTGAAAAGGACAGTGGCTTCAACAGCCCGGCCTCGTCAGACGACGAGACCAGCCTGCCCTTCACTCCCACCTCCAGTCCGCCCTCCACCATCACCAGCGCCGACACCGACACGCAGAACGGTAACGACTCGACGCGCCGAGACTCCGGCTTCGGGTCCAGCTCGCTGACCACCGGGGCCTACACCATCGAGAACGCCCTGCCGGCGCCGGTGTCGCAGTCCGCTGTCGACAACGCCCCGGTGACGTCTCCGGCGGAGTCTGAGCTCACAGTGCCTGCCGAGCGGCGCTTGCGCTCGTGCAGTCCGCTGGCGGTACGGGTCGTGCCAGTGCCCAACGAGGTGACCCTGGAGCTGGAGCCGACCCGGGTGGTGTCAGCGCGCGTCACCATGCGCTCGATGACGCCGCCGCCGGTCGACGACGACGCCAGTGACGTGACCTCTGAGGCGAGCAGCAGCGACCGCACGAGTGATATGTCCTGGGAGGAGACCGAGTTCTCCTACCGGCGACTCTCGGTGGCGCAGCTCACCGATCGCGTCTGGGACTGCTTCAACGAGCACGACTTCAACGTGGAGCCCGTGCGGCCCTGGGAGAACGTGTGCACGGGCGCCGTGGGCCGCGCAAAGGCCATGTTCAGCTGTAAGAGCGCCGCGCCACCGGTGGTGCGCACGGCGCCGCGCCGGTTCTGACCGGGGCACCTCCGTCCCAGAGAGCCGGCCGTGCTCGCCACGGCACACCGCATTGTCAGTTGTCTTCATAACTTATTGCCATCGTCACAACTAAGTGTACTATGTAACTTATTGTCTGCGTCGGCCGCGACGGACTCGACTAATCAGGGTATGGCGTCGGCGTCGTCGCGACGTTCGCGACGCACGTGCGCGCACGCGTCAAGTCATGACGCCGGTCGAGAGAGAGTGGTGCACCCGCCCTGGCTTGGCGTGGCTTCGCGCCAGAGAGCGAATGTGTTCAGTTTTAGCTTACAATGCTAGTCAGGTCGGTGTGTAAAGTATTGGAGCAAGATGAAGTGTATGAAACTGTGTACTACACATGTGCCTTTGATTATTATGTGCATTGTGTTATAGTGTTATGGTTGCAAATATTTTAGAAATAATAAATAAACATCCGAATAATTAAATCCCTGGTGTCTTCGTTCGGGAGGAAGGCGAGCTCATGGAGTAATGCGATTCGTGTGAAAGAATGGAAACAGAAATCACTGTCGAATGGGAGAGGACAGAGGTGAACACTTAGAAGAGACGCTTACTGTTAACGCCAGACCCCTTGAGACCCTAATTTTTCGCGATTACTTTTAAATGCGTGAAGGAATTTCAACCAAGCTCAGGACATGGCCGTTTCAAGACAGGCCGAAACTTTTACAATTTAGATATTTTATCGCCATTTCAATATTTCAGGCACTTGTCATTGACTCGTAATGTTAAATTTCGAGCAAGATTTTCATCCGGTGTGTAGAGGCTATCACCAGTCAGTCTGTGATACGTTATGACGTCACAGCTAAGCCCCGCCTCTGTGGTCTTGGCCTGCGGCGGTTTCGGGCCGGCGCGCGGTCACTCTCGCTGTGGCGGGGAGCGGGGACGGGCGACGGGCGAGCGGTGCCGAAAGCCGGCGGAGTTGTGCGTAGCGTCTTGGCTGACAGTGCCCAGAGAGCGACATGATGACTAAGGAGTCATAAATGCTCATTGCGCATTGCTTCTACAATGCGCATTGAGCATCCACCACTCAATGCGCATCCACCACTCAATGCGCATCCACCACTCATGTTCGCTGATATATATTTTTTTTTATAAGCTGCAAATGACGGGCAGATGGCATATAACTGACATAAGGTTAGGAAATATTCACCTGTATTTAAAGCCTATGGCGTTGCAGATAATGCGATAATGGGATGTCGGATGTCACCAAGTAGCTGCCGATTTGTACATCGCTATGCAACCATCGAACAACGCAATAATAAGTTAATTGCCTGAGCTTCACATCATACGGCTCGCTCGTATTTCAAACAGATACCCTACATCGAAAATCGTATTTGTTAGGAATCGTTAACGTTTGTTCGAAGCACGACTGAGTAGTAGGTTGAGGAGTGATGGTCCTCTTGGTCCTATATACAAGAGTCAACAAGAGCCTAACATTTACTTGACCGTCTGCTGCAATTGACTCATAGCACGTGAAGCGTCAGCGAAATTCATAGTCCTTCACAGATGGCAGGGGTGTCGTTTGTACAGAGGTCGCTGATGGGCACGGGTCAATGCCGCAGTCGTGGGCGGAGCCTAATGTCATATGACGTAGAAAGCCTCTATCCAGGATGGAAAAACAGTTAACATTACGAGTCAATGACAAGTGCCTGAAATATTGAAATGGCGATAAAATATCTAAATTGTAAAAGTTTCGGCCTGTCTTAAAACGGCCATGTCCTGAGCTTGGTTGAAATTCCTTCACGCATTTAAAAGTAATCGCGAAAAATTAGGGTCTCAAGGGGTCTGGCGTTAACAGTAGTTCCTCACCGTCTCTGTCGGAGCACAGACAGCAAACAATGTCAATGTCGGAGAACACACAATAACCTTTTACAGAGGCCTACATACTCTTTTTAACATCGGCAGACGTTGACAACCACGAGGGCAATGGCATATACGTTTATCAATTACTGCCGCCTTTTTTGGAGGAAGATACGACATGTTCAGGGACTCACGGACACCCTAGCCCAATTGATCAACGCCTGCACATCTTCACACAAATATCGATCTTCATCCCTTACACGACTGGAAGCACTGCTGCAACGCGGACCTGACGGCTCAGCGACAAGAGTTAGCACCTACTCATTCCGCGAACGATTCCACGACCGGCGGTGACCGGCGCCCACCAATCTGATAGTCTCACAGGGAGGGACAGACACATCGTCCCCGAGCACCCTCGCCTTTTTGGACATCTCACTCCCGGCCACAAATGGCTGTGAGCGGCGTATGATGACTCTCAGTGCTGAATGGCGTATAATAATGGTCTTAGGCCAGCGCTGAATCACATGCATGTCTAAAGAAATCCTCAAAACTTCGATCGATGCATGTTTCTCGTATGTTTATCAACACAGCGCGGAATAAATCAAGCACGAGCTCACATGCTATTGCCAAAAAAGTGATTACGGAGCGAGCGAAGCGAGCGTAGTCTTTCCTTAGATTAACGGAAATTTCTGAGTATGAGCGGCCGGCCGTGGTCACGCTTTTGCGAGGCTTATATCTCAGCAACCACTTGACCGATTTACACGCGGTAATTTTTGTAGGGTAGCTTCATTCCTTCTACCAAGTATTGGACTATTCCCGATGCATGTGGGTGACCCCTTATGCACGTGCCACGTGCAAAACGAAGAGGTGTCACTTTTATAATTGTTGCAATATCTCGGTAACCACTTGGCCGATTACGCTGAAAGTTGGCATGTAAGTAGGCACCCACTAGGCAATGCATATCCATGTGCCAGAGTTGGGGTGCTGCTGCACGTGCGCACGTGCAGGGGTCGATTCCAGATCTCGAGAACGGCTGGACCGATGGCGCTCAAATTTGGCACATGGTTAGGGACCGGTTAGTAGGGTGCCGTGCAAAAGTCAGTTGGGACCCATTTTGCACGTGCGCACGTGCAGGGTGCCGCTTCCAGATCTCGAGAACGGCTGGGCCGATTGTGCTCAAATTTGGCACATCGCTAGAGACCGGTTAGTAGGGTGCCGTGCACAAGTCAGCTGGAGGTACCCCGTCGAAATTTCGCACGTGCAAGGCTCACCCTCTCGCTCGCTCCGTTAGTCGCCCCAAAAGGCGTTATACTGGTTAATAGGTAAATCCAGGGGATGAATTTAAATACCGTAAAGTGGGGCTATTTGAGACAGTGGGGCTATTTGAGACAGTGGGGCTATTTGAGAAAGTATTTAAAATCGCTATAAAATGAAGATCGTTTGATTTTTGTGTGATATTTTTGCTCAGGGAGGTGTGGAATCGAGCAGTAAATCGCCTGAGCAAAAAATTAAGCATTAATTTCAAGTGGTTTTTATTTTATAGCAATTTTAAATACTGTCTCAAATAGCCCCACTGTCTCAAATAGCCCCACCTTACGGTAGCTGTTCGGAAAGGTCTCCGGTTACAGTCCACATAGCTCCGAGGAACCATACCTACGAGGTACTCTTATTCGCCTGTCAGTACTCTGATAATATTCCGTCAAATTAATTATGAATCCACGGAGTATTAAATACCAACATCTACATTTTATCTCTTTGTCCTTCTGAGGAATGCATAATTGCATATAGTCATGATGTAAGACCGCAGCATTCTCGGCAGTCGCTAGTCAGTCAGCAGTCAGTTTGGCTTTCCAAAGCTACGCCTGCACTCCGATAGTAGGCTGGGCTGTTTTATTTTTCAGAAGCATTCATATTCATCGTTTTCCAAAACACAAGCAGTTCAAACTGTTCCAAGACGCTCGCTGTGTCTCTATGTGATGAAACGAAAGCAGATGTGACCTGTGCTAATATGGCCAATGACTAGGCTACCTGGTGGACCCAAACGGTCAAATTACCATGTAAACACTGATGCAATGGGGAAGGTAGCATATTTATATCGACAAAGCAAAACTTACTGTATTTAACCTTCCAGGCGGTGGGGGGGGGGGGGCATTTTTTTGCCCACCCTTTAGTTTTTTCAATATATCTCGAGAACCGCTGCGCCGATCGTCACCAAACTTTCGGTACCCTCCCGGGAGCAGCTAGCGCACATGGTGACCAAAACTTTTTCCAAAGGCTATGATAGGCTGGCCGCTAATGACGTCAAAGTGACGTCATTTTTGCCATTTTCGACCCAAAAAAAGGTTTCGCGGGAAGAGCTGTCAGGCCTACAGCTTTAGAGATACAGAAAAATGTTTCAGACATAAAAGGTGTGAAATCAAAAGGGCTACAAAACTACTATTTCGGTTTTTCGAATTTTTTGGATTTTGACCCCCTAAAATAAAAAAAAAATAGATTTTTGAATATAATAGCCAAAAATCCAAAAAGTTTTTTGAATTTCAAAAAAACGGGAATATATGTGATAGTCCCTACCGCCTTCTATCTACATACCAAATTTGAGATCGATACCTCTTTTTTTGCCAAGTTATAGCGAAAAAAACTGTTCAAAATTGATGACGTCAAATTTTCAAACTCAATTTTTAGCAATTCTATACCTCGTAGCGCAAAACAAAGACCATCATTAGACTCCCCGTGACGAGCTGCATCGAATCGATACCCATTTTATGCAAAAATATCAACTTTGAATTTGACCTTTTTTGACCTGACCTTGACCTGACCTCCACCAGAAAGTGACCTAAACTGTACCTGATGGTCTTATAACCAACACCATTGTGTTGGAAATGAGAAACTGGCCATAAAACATGCATCGCATAACCTTAGTAAAGTTGGGCTCATGTGGTACCTACCTAGATACCTTGGTGACCTTTGGTGACCTGACCTGTGACCTGACCTGGTATGACCAGTGACCTCTAATAGCAACATATGTACTAGACAACTGACGCCTTGTCGCTGATTTTCGACAAAATGCGTTTTACTCGGTGTTATAGCGCTTTCCCTAGAAGCCCCGTGAGCGGTGAAACATTTCATCTTTGACCTGACCTGTGACGTCATCAGTGACCCCGAGGTCAATGAAATTTGGTTTCCTTCGACAAATTTGACAGGGCTATCGAAAGCCGTTTGAATTTTCCGGATCCGTCCAGTAGTTTCGGAGATACGGGGGGGGGGGCAAAAAAAATGCCCCCCCCCCACCGCGCGGAAGGTGGCTGCATAGGCCCACCGCCTGCCGGGTTAAAATTGAAAGGATTTAAGACATTTGCGGGTTTTCTTACTCATATGCGTGCATTCTCAACAAGGACAGTATCACAGTGAATAACTAAATACAGGAGTGCACTGCAGGGAGCCTTTCTGTTAGTTGGCGATGGCCGATGAAGATGAATAAATTTCGATCAGTTCCAGAGCAGCTATGGCGTCTATGCTAGATACCTAGAATGATGTGGGGGAGAGAACTCAACTGCCGACGACCGGGGAATGTCTAAAATGGCGCCGTAATCCATAACGACACGAGAAATGAGAGGGGTAGGGAGGAGGA